TAGGTCCGTGGAAACAGCTTTGAATGCAGAAAATGGGACTATGCCAGAGTTCTACCTCATTCCAGTCATTTCTGGGTTTGACGCCTTGCGCAAGCTCTTTGCTGTGAGTGGTTTCTTTGCTATGCTGGATAAGGCCTATCAGATTGCTGTGACCGCGTTGCTTGGCATGTGGAGCTTCAAGTGTCTGATTCTCTTGATGATGGACTTAGTTCGCACCCGCGCGGCCTCCCAGAACAAACTGGATTCTATGCAGCAGTTCCTCTTGCTGCAGATGTTGTTGTCGAAGCTGAGTGACAAGCTGTTGCCACTGTTCGTGAAAGCAGTTTGCAAGCAGAATACGAGACTATGCCAAATGCCCGCTTCATTCCTGGTACTTCAAGCTTTTGCTCTGCGCCATCCAGCTGTTCCTGGCAAGTCTGTAGGCCTTCGTGCTTACGAAGTGGGCCCCTTGTTGTATTTCCCCGTGAATTTCAGCGCAGATCTGCCTTGCAAGAGCTTCACGTATGCAACCATCGAGCATGATCTGCCTGGCCTGTGCCAATGGCTACCATTAGCACGTTGACAGGTTCTTCCAATGAGAGGAGCTGCGTGATGCGGCGAATCACTGTAGTTGAGGTTACCTGTCAATTTTTGTGCTTCCTTGGATTGTAGTGATTCTCGGCCCAGGTGGCCTAGCTGTTTGTCTGAAGCCTGCAGTGCGACAACCAGCCTTGATGGCGTTGAATAGCCCGCCTGTATTTGCAACAGTTTTCTGCCGCTGGCTGTGTCAATGAGGCATGCCGCGCGATGTAGCCTGCCACTGTAGTTATGCGTCCAGTTGGCCATTCACCTGTCTATGGCACGTTCCAGTCTTTGGACACTTGTCGGGGCCAGGGTGCTGCTTATGCTAGCCCTTGGTCCCCCTAATCAACCGGAAAAGGCCCCTAAATTGCATTCCTTGAGATCCCCTCCTTTTATCGTGGTTGGCCTCGTATCGGCGCTCCGCTTCCTCAAGCAGCAGCGACATGGATCCTTGCGGAGCAAAGCTGATATGTGGTGGGGTTCCGAAATCATTGCGTTTCGGGCTTAGGGTTTAGGGGTCACCTAGGACCTAGAATAGGGACCGCACTAGTTTGGTGTTTATCACGAGTCCGATAGATAGTGCAGCACCCAACAATGCGACAAGCCTTCGTTTCTTCAGTGGGAGAGACAACGGATATTGGTTTGTCGCACGATGTCGCATGTGAGTGCTTCTTTCTCTAAGCAGCCGCTCGCGCGGCAGTCGCAAAATGAGCCCCACGCCAGTAGCCTTCACCATTTTTTACAGTAAATGCTAACGGCCACACCATGTGCAGAAAGCTGCGCTAAAGTCTCTGAGTCCAACTACGTAGATGGACCAAACGCTGCACACAGAACTGAAGAACTGGAGGGACTGGTATTGAGGTGACGGTGAAACCTTTCCAGAGCAATGTATCAAGAAATCTCTCATCTCAAACAGGAATGCGTCGTCATGCTTGCTCTGGCTTTGGGTGGCTGCTCCTACAAAACAACCGAAAGCATCAACACTATCGGAAACCACAATGGCTCTGTGGCGACTGCGCAACACTTTAAAATGCGCATGGCAATGCGCCCAAACGTGTTGTTGCATGCGCGCGCCGAATGCTCAGTAGTTGGAGCAGATGCCACTGAATGTGGCCTTTCGGTCAACGAGCTCCACCCAATAGCCTCAAGAGAACTTTGTGGGTGCTTATCGGGATGAGCCCCTGCCCCCTCTTCAAAGAAACCTCCAGGTAGGCAGCTATCAGATCTGTACCCTGGAAGAAGGTCTACATATTTACACCGACGCTCTACAAGCCTTGTATTGGGGTACTCACCTGGTAAAAACTCACCTGCGGGGTCCCTCGTACTATAATAATCTCTCAAGCCGGAGGCCTAGGGAATATTGTGCTAACTTTCAGGAGCCTCAGTGAGCATTCAGTGCCTTTGCTGCGTTGTATTCCTGAAAAGGGGGTGTACAACTTCTGCTATAACAAAACCTGACTGTCAATACATGTATGTCGCTTGGCAGGGAATGCAAGTAGCCCTTTTGCATCTGGGCTCGCACACAGCCACAAAGTAAACCCTAAACTCTAAACCCTAAATATTGCAGAAATCTATAATCCAGTCAATTACTGTAGTCTGTATGGACAAGTTTCAGCATTTACGGGCTCTAAACCCTAAATATTGCAGAAATCTATAATCCAGTCAATTACTGTAGTCTGTATGGACAAGTTTCAGCATTTAAGGGCTCTTTGAAAAGAATCCTAGAAAGAACCCCTGATCCCATCACCGTATATAACCCGTATATGGTGCTTATATCCCCCCCCTATAAAACCAGGTAGTCCCTACATGACCCTCCCCAGAGGCTACAGGGGTCCACTGTAGGGGTCCCTCGCAAAGCCCCAAGTTATTTTGAGTTTAGTGTTTATACTCCCCCCTAAATTAGATAGAATATGGCTTTGGGGTATATCATGATAAGCTCCGCACAAGAGGGTTTAGGCCCAGTAGCCGTTTGGATCATAGGCAAAGGCTATGCCACGCATGTTGCCTAGGTGTCGCACATCTTGGGCTCTTGCACAGCTAACGCTTTGGTCTATTCTTTAAGCCCTAAAGCTAAAAGCCTTAAAAACAAATCCCTGCTATCACTTACTATTCTTAAAATAACTATGACTACTATGAGTACTAGTCATACAGCTAAACCCAAAACAATTAAAGGTTGCCTATTGTACACGTAGGTTTGCCATCTTGAGGTCTTTTCTTGAAGAGGACGCCCTCGGCCTCCATCTTGTCGCAGGATTCCTGCACTCGGGTCAGGAGGACTTGGTAACAGGTATATGGGGTTTCCCCGAACTTCGGGTACCTCTTTGGCGGTTCCTATAATAACGACAAAAGTATATTTGGGCCTATATGGGGTCCCTCAACGGGGAAACTACCATATAAAGCCATAAGCTACATCAAATCGCCACTATTAAGCTACTTGCCAAATCCACGTGACCCTCAAAGCAGTGTGTGGTGATAGTGCAGAAATCCCTCCCACACCCTCGCAAGTAATATACCCTACATGATAATATGTGTTGGAAATGTGTGTCTGCTACCGTATTTGTCAGTGATGAGGGGAGATTGTATGGCCGCTTTGCGTGGGGAGGTTGTACTTGTCTAGCATCGTGTTACCGAGCCAAGCCAACTCCAACTCAGTCCATGCAGTATAGTCATACCCAAGGGGTCATGTAGGCATTTAGTGAAGGGCTTATGTTTTAGGATGTGGGGTTTGAGGTATTGGGTAAGTATTTTGTATATACTTAGGCCCGAAAGCGCTCCCATGTAACCATTTTGGCGCTCAAGTACATACCATGCACCTACATGTACCCTTTGGGAAGTGGCAATTCTTTACACGTGTCTTTTCTTGACCGTGGAGCTCAGAGAGGGTCTAGGCCCTGTAGGCCTAGGCTCTAAACCCTAAAGCCTCTAATCCTAAACCACAAACCCGAAAACCCTAAACCCCAAACCGGGCAAGCCCGGCAACGGAGCATGCCAAAGAATAGAAGCCCAACTTTGCAGCAAAAATCTCAATGGCCTGCAAGTTGTCCACAATGAAGCCGATATGCCCAAATCCCTGAGGCTGAGCATTGCCATCATGGACCTGGCGGCAAGAACGCCATTCCAACCCAGCTTCCATTCATTTTCCATGTTTAAGCTGATTCTCCATCATGAGGGTAATATCCCTATACTATGCCCGACTATATATGTCCCTAGACTACCCCCCCTCATAGCCTAGCTTACTAATGTCCCTATACGATGTCCCTATCTAACCTAAACCCTAACTCCTAAACCCCAATAGCCCAGATTACTATCGCCAGCAGTGCATCCAGCCGGCCTTGAAGTCTGGGTCCTTTTCGGTGCCATGGTTCCAGGTTAGCTCCAGGCATTGGTTCCTCAAATGAGCCATAGTCTAAGCTCCCTAAAGGGGGTTATGTAGGGTTTTGGGTTTAGGGTTCAGTGTTTAGGGTCGAAAATCCTGAAAGGGGGTTGTATAGGGGATTCTCGACGGGATCATTATAGGGCTTATTAAGGGGGATACTATGAATTCAGACTATAGCTCAAATGTAGATGCAGAGCAGATATCTAACAATCACCGCGGCATAAGACAAATGCAAGTACCTGCTACACCTGCCACCCAGGGTTTATAAGGTTTCGGGTCACCCGACAAGCTGGTTGCTTCAAGGCGCCACGCGATCTTTGTCAAAGTGTTCGGGAGCTCTGGATTCAGGCCATCAACATGCTTGTTCTCGGGATCCAGGGGGAGACATTCCTCCAGCTCTCCAGGTGTTAGCGAAGCAAGGAAGTACCTTGCTGGCAGAGTCTTCGGTTTCCCAGAATGAAGGGACCTCTAAATAGACCCCGAAGTGCTCTAGGCCTTACTATAGGGACCACTAAAATGGTACCCCTAATTTTGGGAAACCCGGATTTATTGTATTGTAGAGTACTGATTTGAAAGGAAGAGGCCAGTGTGATTGTTAGCGCGGTTCTTCCTCATCCTTATCCTTACTGGTGCTCAAGGGAGAGTGGAGGAGTGGATCCTGACAATAATCCCTGTATAATCCGCATACTCCCATGCCCATTCCCCCACTCCCCCTTAAACACCAATACGTCTTGAGAAGCGTGCAGGCATTCACCATCCTGCAACCCTAAACCGCTGGCCCTCATCTCTTGCTGGTTCCTTCCGCATGACTCCAGGTAGCTGTATAGTAGATACTTGAACCCTAAAATCTAAGATGGTCAGCTATAGTCTGAACAGGGTCATTTCGGTTTGTTATTGCACCGGCGTCCTTTCTACCATCAATGCTTCACCTCGCAAGGTCTCGTTGGCCAACCACTCGCAAAGCAAGACAGACAAGCGAAACCGTTGTTCTCACGTGTTGCAAGGGGGCGAGTTGAGAGGCTCAATGCCAAATCCAGTGGCCTGGAGGAGTACACTTTTTAATTTGACATGGCCCTCTTCGATTACACTTTTATCCGCCCCAAAAGAACTGCTCTAACTAGGGCCCCTCTTGGGGCCGGCTGCTTGAGACGCACTTCCGAGTTTTACGAGCTTTCTTGTAAGAGCGCCTCAACACTACGCTGAATTTTTTTTTGCGATGTTCTGCCTCATGCGGGGCAGACTCTGATAAAAGTAAACGTGGTGATCACTTCAATTCCCAGGAAATTTCCAACATGATTCCTCCATCCGCCACGGTGCAGGGAGAACTTCCACTGCGGGAAGTCCATCTTTCGCAGGAGCGTCATTCCGAGGTGCTTGGTGTAAAACTCCACGCTAGCAGGGCCGTCTTTCCTCGTCTGCAACGCTGCGTATATCCCCGAGACTGTACAATCCCCTATATCCTGTTCAGGAGGTCCATAATCCAGCAACCCTCACCCTAATCAAGGAATACTTCTCAGGAAAGCCTGGAGATAAGCATGATAAATAAATAACAAGCCCATTCGATGCCTATCGTAATTCGTTAAGTCATATTTAGGTTACCACTTCCATTAGTGGCCACAAGGTCTGACAAAGTAGAAAAGAGGTGTCAATAATCAGCTCAGCGGCACACGCAGCATGGTCTGGGAAAGGTTGTAATATTCCTTCCATCCCAGCTTCTCGCGGCGAACCTGGAAACGACAGGTTCTAGGAGCATGCCTCCTAAACCCTATACTCCCCCTTCAGTAGGTAGAATATGGCTTTGGGTATATTATAAAAAGATCCCCATATACCCCATATTCTATCTACTAAAGGGGGACCATAAACCCCTGAACCCTAAATTGCGTAAACACTTAAAGAGTGCTGGGGGATGTACCCAACTACAGCAGCTCGAGCTCCAAGAAAAGAATACCTATCCTGTGATTTTTGGAGGTCAGGCGGCCGTAGTAAGTAGGTCAATAACTATAACCCTTACAAGGCATATGAGCTACGGACTAAAGTTAGGTTGGGGGGGGACCTACATGGGGATGTATTAGGGGGGTATAGGGGACCCATTAAGATATGTACTAGACATTTATCAGTCCAGGGGTCATATCATGTCAGCATTACCCCCTACTTACGTACAAGGTCCGCCTGATGCTCCGGTTTAGGGTTTAGGTTGGGTCATTCCCCAGTAACTGTCCTTAAAGGGGCCTTATTAAGGGGGTTCCTATAACTCCTATCAGTTACTGTAAGGGGGAATGACCCAAGGTTTAGGGTTTAAGGTGTCTTCTGGCCTGACCTGTGGGTTGGCGCTCCTCTCACTCCACCTTCCATCCTTAAAAAACCTGTATCTAGGCGTGTATATATATATATAGAGCTACAGTCTAAACTCCTATAGTATCCCCCTTAATAACCCCCTATATAATCCCCTATATAACCCCGCTTTAAGGAATTTAGACTACGGCTAATATGTATAGAGCTACTAGGATCTTCTAGGGATATTGCCATGGACAACTAAATTGAAAGCAAACATGGAAAATCAATTCGAAACTGGGCTCTTACAATACAAGGAATGGAATCCAAGCGCGCAGCCCCAAAGTTCCGCTCTAGTATATTTGATTTATGTAGGGATAATGGAAAATAGCCTGGAAACTACTACAGTATGTTGGGGTTATGTAGGGGTTATGGGAAAGAAAATGGAAACTACTATCGTATATTGGAGTTTGTAGGGAGGATCGAAAAGAAAATGGAAACTACTATACTATATTGGGGCTATGTAGGGGTAAGGGAAAGGAGAATGGAAACTATGGTAAGTCAAATGTCAGGTTAATGGAAGAGAAGAAGGAAACTACTATACCAAGCAATCTCCCTCGCCTTGAATGAGACACGGCTCTCACAGCTTGTCTGCCAATATCTACATTACGAGCTTACCCTAAGGCATCGGGTGGGGTCCCTTTTGAAGAGCATTGGACCCAGCCTAAATCCTAAACCCTAAGCCTCCTGTGACTTACTGGGGGTCCCTATGTATTCTGTAGGGATTTATAGGGATTCTAGTCCCGTATTCCCTATACTAGCCACCAGTAAGTCTTTAGCGCAAGAATTCTGAAACCACTTGCGAAGACAAGATAGATTTTGCCACCCGGTCAAGTCTAACTATCGGCTTCAGGCATGATTTCGAGGTCTATTTGGGGATTTCCCAAAATTAGGGGTACCTTTTATTGGGGTACCCTAGTTTTGAGAAACTACCATTTGAAGTACCCGATACTAAAAGCAGTCGAGGAATAGGGACGATAACAGTTATCAATCAGAAACACTGTAAAGACAAGTTCAGTTCAAGGAGCAATCTCCACCCAGTATCCATCAGGATCCAGCGCGAAGGCAAGACCCTTCATTCGGCCCTCGTCTGGCTTTTTCTGGAATTTCCTGAGCTCAGAGCCGGGGAGGCTCCTAGATACCAATAAGAATGAGCTATAGCGGTTTAGGGTTTAGGGTGAGGCTCCGCTCAGATGGAGGTCCTGCTGCTACCTAGGCTATAGGCGTTATGGGGTTTAGGCTCGTGCTGCTGCCGCGGATGCAGCTCCTGCTGCTGCCGCCACTGCAGCTGCCGCTGTTGCCACTGCCCCACATAGCCCATGGGTTTCTCTCAGTTGCTATTGCTACCCCAGAATGTGCAATCAACTACGTTCCTACCAAACCCTACGTACGCTCACAATCACCCATGATCAATTCCTACCTGGAATTCGGTCAACATGTCACTCTGGGCTTGCTCCCAACAAGCTTATTGGTGTACATCCCTCATCAGGTTGAAGTGACAACTGCCAGGCATCTCATTATCGCCATTCTTACTATTCTGACTACTGCTCTTTGACAACTTCGTACCGCCGGCATCATGCAATATAATTGACACCCAGCTTCACGCCATTCTTCTCCAATTTCTCGCAAGCCTCGTACCTTGAATGCGGGTCTGCGAGTGGCTTGAAAATGGACTGCAAGACCAGGCACATTCTGCTCCAAAGAACATGCAAGGAATAACTTAAGCCCCAAACCTAGGCCCTAAAACAAAACCCGGCACACATGGCGCTTGCATTGCCTGATCGAAGTGCCTGACACGGCTTGCGGTTATGTGGTAGTTTCCATGAGTAGGGGGACCCCAATATACTTACCGGGGGTTAGCAGGGAGTATATCTCTATATCTCTATATATATATATACATGTAATGTTGTACGGGGATTCCTTTTACCCTGATTCCCTACTGATCACCAGTAAGTATAGAGACCCCTACATGCTATGTAGTACTAATTGCAGGACGCCCCACGAAGGGGCCCCTAATATTCGGAAACGCACGGGATCCCAAGGATATGTCTCTATCTCAATACCATGACCACAGGGTCTAGGGTTTCCACCTGCTAGCCAGGATGCACATCATCGCAGTTGAAAGCTATGTGTCCAAACCCGCGCGCTGCCTTTGCTGCAGCACAGCTGAAGAAAGCTAGGGGTTCACTGGGTTGGCCCCTAAAACCCTTCCAAAAATATTAGTATATAGGGTCCCTTATGAAAGCCATTAAGGAAAATACTAAATATCCAAGGGGCCTACCAAGTTCAGGGTTTGGAGAGCCCCACTGTGCTTGGAAGTTGCCAGGCAACGTCGGTCTATTCAGTGAGGTTTTCACGAATGCACCGAACTTACGTAACAGGATAACCTTAACAAGGACCGAAGTCACCATACGAGCTATAGTCTAAACAAAACTCCCGTCTAAACACAACTCCCAGTATCCCCCTTAATGTCCCCTATAGTGCTGCCCTATATAATCCCTTTTGTAACCCCCTTTGAGGGGTTTAGACGATAGCTCATACGGAACTCAAGTGCCCTAAATTGGCTGAGATGAGACCGGATTCACACGATTTTTTGGTGCATTACACACACATAAAAAGATATATAATCATAGATTATATATTATATATATACACATATTTTTGGTTTTCGTAAGGATATACCAACTAATGAACTATCAGCAATCAAGTCGGGCAACAGGCTCCTCGGCGTAGTTCGCGCCCTCGCCATCCCGGCCTCCCATTAACGCATCTCCCCTCAGAGTAGTGTTTATTTTAGGTTTTAGGGTTTAGGGATTTAGGGTTTTGCAGTTTAGGGTTTAGGGTTTAGTTGTGTTTTTTGTCGCGCCTTTTCCCCACACTCCGCGGGTTTAGGGTGTAGGGTTTAG